GAAGATTTTGCGTTATCTTTGCTCTAAAGAAACTTGAAACTTATATATTTGGTTATGAGATCATTATCGTTAGTGACCATAATCCTCTCAAATTTATAACCGAGTGTTCCTCACAGAGGCATCCTTTGCATCGCTGGTCTTTAACATGACAACGATTCATGCAGTGATTACATACCAGAAAGGAAAAAAGATCATATTAACGCAGACTCATTATCTCGATTAACTGCCTCTCATTGAAAATATGACTGAAAGTCGATCATTTTTGAAACGTTAGGAATATTTTGACTATTTCGTTGGAAAACGTTTTAGAGATAAAATGCCAAGCTTTGGAATTTTTCTAATGTTACGTAATATGTACAAGACAGTCTTAAAACTTGCAATCAGTCCTTTGTATATAGCTTTCCCAAAGCGATTCCTCTGTTTACAGTAAGAAAACAAGGGTGCACTTATTTTTATAACCTACTTGTGACATATAATTTTTAATAACCTGTAAACATTGAAATATGCAAACTTTTGTGTGAATGAACACAGAATTTTCTGGGTACGTTTAAGAAATTTATAAAGAATTTTGTTTAAGAGACCCAAGTTATCTTCCTGTGGAAACTTTCATAAATAGTTTAAATTGCTGATACATTTACAAGGTTTTATTTCCCCCCAAAGAATTCGCCATTTTTAACATCCGAAATTCTTCAAAACTGGAGCTTCATTAAACATCCATATTCTTGCTTTTTGATTTATCATTTTTTAAACGTATGGTAGTTTTCAGTCTTCTTTCTTGGATGAAAATTACTGTGTGTGTTTAGTTACCATTTTCATTCAGGAGAATATGCTTTCAGGCACGACCAAGTACAAGGTTAGGTGACTTTTAAAATAGTAATTAGCGATAAACTACTAGCTAGAAAGCATATTCTCAACTGAATGAAACTTGGAAGTTAGGTACACGAGATAAAATTATAAGACTGGAATTTCGGAAGAGTGTCAAGAAGAAATGAACAAGAAAAAATGCAAAAGATAGTTGTATTTGTATGCAGGAAGGATATTCTATAATATTAAAAAATTTAAATTTGCATTTACGCGAGATTATATGAAAAATAAGCATAGCTAGGGGCACTATCAGAAATAGACAAAACTAAAGGCCCTATCTAAGCCAACATAATACAAACAAGAGAGAGAAATTTATGATTTGCATAACTTTCTCAATTTGCAAGGGGAAAAAAACTTTGTTTCTAGCTCTAGAAATATTATTTACCATCAATTGAAACATGTCACAAAGTATCGCAGAAAATGTCCTCCTTTGTTACCTCAAAAGGACTATTAGTCTTGAAACACGATTTTACGTTCTTTCATTTTAATACGTTTTCTATTTTTTCTTCGAGTCTGTCGCCACTTGGAAGAACATAGAAATTGTTTTCTCATGTTCAAGCTGCCTGTTATTAACTAAACTATTTAAAAGGAATAGATGCAGTTCTTAAGAATATTATTTTTTAATAAATTCTTTTTCACTCGAGTCTGTCGCCACTTTTTAAACTTTTTAATCTGATTGATTTAAATAAAAATGCATTTAATTCGTGATATATCTAGTTAAAAACATGTAGAGTCATTAGGATTTTTGAAGTAGGAGACTTGAAAAATGAGCAATGCCCTCTCCGGAACTCTAACCTGAACCTCTTGAATACATGCCGAGTGTGCTACCGTTACACCACGAAGGCATGCAGAAAGCAGGGAGTAAATACCTTATATACTTCCTATTTAAAGGGCGACTGGGATTAGGGAACCCATTCGCCAAATCCTGGTGGTGCAGAATCATATTCCACCACCTTTTTAGTTCGGGCGCCACTGTAGAGTCATTAGGATTTTTTTATGCTGGAGACGTGAAAAATGAGCAATGCCCTGGCCAGGACTCGAACCTGAACCTCTCGAATACGCGCCCAGGGTGCTACCGTTACACCACGAAGGCATGCAGTAAGGAGGGAGAAAATACCTTATAAACATTAAATATTTTTATAGAATAAGGCTACACATTTTCTCATTTTTCAAATATACGGAAGATAAATAACGTTTCCATGTAGTCTAAATGCATATTCGTCTAATATCCTATAAAATGTTTCGCTATTCCATCTGGAACATCTTTATCAGTAAGCTCTAATGAGAAACATTATTAAACTTTGTAAGTTATTTCTTCCGCCTTCTTAGCATGCCTTCGTAGTGAAGTGGTCAGCACGCTTGACGCGTATTCGAGAGGTTCGTGGTTCGAGTTTCGGCGAGGGCATAGCTCATTTTTCACGTCTCCTCCTTAAAAAAAAAAAAAAAAAAAAAAAAAAAATCAGATTTTTTTCCTTTTTATATTTGCGTTTGATTTGGTTCTCTCCGAGTTACTGTTATTTTTTTTAGGTGTTGCAGTATTCAGCTCTACAATCGTCGAGAACTGTTGTTGATTTTTAGGAAACAGCTCTCGTTGCACTGACTATCTGATTTTTTAAAGCAAGAAAAATGTGAAATTCGACAGTGCCCTAATCAAAATTCGAACCATGGATTTATAAAGAATAGCTGGATCGTGCTCGTTATTCCTTACAAGGTTATTTCATAGATTTGTCCTGAGATTCAGGTCAGGAAAACTCCAAAACCAATGTTTTGCATATCATGCCACAGTTGCACAGTTTTTTACAGTTTGGAACCTTAATGGATGCACTACATCTTGAAACATTTCTAAGCCTCCCCTCAGAATTTCCGTATATGAAAAAAATTCTTCTTTTCTTACTTTAAGCCAATTTTTTTAAATTCTATGATAAAAGAGATGGCCTGTTAAGCAGCAGTTGTCATAGAGTTTTCTTTTGAGGGGAATCTCCATTCAGCATTATGAAATTGATGTATATAACCTGTTGCTCAAGTAACATGTGCTTTTTATCGCATTATTCGACAGCTTATTCTATAATTCGGCGACTTTGAAGATGATCTGTGCAGAAAACATTGCTATATGATTTCAAAGGACAAGTTTATTTACTGTATTAAAGGTTTCCAGTTAAATGCTGCCGTTACAACAAATTTAGACAGCAGATCACATGCGATCGTAACTATGGATAAAATACTCGCATTTTTAAGACATTTAAGCAAATGATTATAACTATAACTATATTAATCGCAACTCTTCACCCATGCAGGCCAGTTTGTTTCTGTAATTCCCTTGAAATATGGTTGTTTTTCAGAATTGTCAGATTGCTGGGATTGTTCAGGTTCACTTGATAGGAGTCTCTAACTGGACTGTTTATCATACTTAACATCAAGTACAGAAGCATTAAGTATAGAGTTTTAACGAAAGTTTCCCGCCACTACCAATATCATCTTCACAAACAGTTCGCATCGGCGTGTCTAATCACATTTTGCCTAACGATTTTTGGCATTTGAAAGAAAGAGACATGCTTCAGAGCACTGTGTAAAAACATATCGTTATCATTAAGTACAGGGTGTCTGAAATAGAACTATCACTCTACCAGATTAGAACCACCATTTACTTCCACCTCTCTTGCAAAATGTCAGCTACAGAATATCACCAAATCATGCCGACAGCTTTATTAATGTTATACCATATGACACTGTGAAGACTTGGTAGATAAAGTTCAAAAACAAGGACTATGACATTCAAGAAGCAGAGCCCTCTGGACGGCCCACTGATGTTGATGAGACCCGCCTGCAAAACCCTCTGGAAGAAGATCAGTATGCAACCACTGGAGTGCTTTCTAAGGAGTCAGACGTTAGTGCCACGTCCATTAGTCACGCTGCGTATCGCATAAACGTAACGTGCAAGTTCAATCGCTGGATGCCGCATGAGCTGACGCAAGCAGATAAGGACAGACGTGTTCGGGCCTGCACTAATCTACTTTGAATATCAACGCAAGGAGAAAATTCTGGACTTGATCGTAACTTGTTATGAAAACTGGATTTACTAGAACAAAATGGACCGAAAATGGGGTTGGTCTGCGCCCGGTGGGCCCGTCGGCAGAATCGCAAAAGGCAACTTGACTAACAAAAAGATCATGTTTTTTATCTGGTGGGATTGCTATGGTATTTGGAAACCCTCGACGGTAACGTGCGCAGCGAGCTGCTAGTCTGCGTTGGCGCTGCTATCAAGGAAAAACATCGAACTGAGTCCTGGCGCAATAAGTTAACGCAAGACCATCAAGATAATGCAAGACCACAAGTATCTGCCTTCACCGGCTAAACTCTGTACGGATGCGAATGGAATCTTTTGCCACACCCACCATATAGCCACGAGATCGCTTCTTCGGACTTCTACCTTTCTTCACACCTACAGCTACAGACAGACAGACAGACAGAAAGAACTACAGGAGGCACCAAATCATCGCCATGGGCAAAACTGGTATCGCCCCACTGCACTAACCATCTGTAGAAGTGTGCCCTGACCGGGCACGCTAATACAATGCTCGGGAATTGGTATACGTTGCAGCAAGCAGCATTCATAATCACTGTTATATATTAATAGTGCATAATTTGCATTGCAGACAATATTGTCTCAGATATACTTTACACGGGTACTTTGCAGTTGAATGGATAAATACAATAATTACAATAAGTTATTTACAGATGTATATACATATTTCTTTTGTGTTTCGGTTTGGAGCTTTGTTGCGGGGGGGGGTGGGGGAGTGTTTTATGGTATGTGGTTCGTTGTTTGTTTGGTTTTGTTACACACGATTCACAGTTTTTTAAGTTATTCATTCATAGTGCAGTTCATAATACAGCATACAGTTTATGAATTCATTTCATGGTACATAGTGTTGAGTACGTAGTACTGGTGCATCTGTCACACATTGCACAGTATGAAGTAGTTCATAGGTTCATGGTATGAGAAAAGTTACAGTTGTCTCAATAAATGGATATATTTAAGTGCGTTTTCTAAAAGCACTCCTGTATAGTATGAGGGTGAGAGTGGATGTTCTTATTTTTGCGTTTTATGAACTTAGAGGATTATTTTGGGTTGTAAGCTATGGATGACACAGGTCCAGTCCTTGGCGGTGTAAGAAATCAATAATATTTTTGATGTTTTGGAAAACTTTACGGTGCTTAATAATGAATCTTCTAAATTCTATTCCAGTGTCGGTGGGATGGCGAATGTAATGGGCTGACGTTAGCGGACACTGAAACATGTAATGTTCAGGGTCTCCGCATTCCCCGCATATGCATCTATCCGACGTAGCCATATTGCGATCATAAAAATACTTGGGGAAGGGATCGTGACCCGAGATGTACTGGGTGAGGAAGTAGGTGGAAATTGTGGTATTTTCATCAGCCTTGGGTAGTAGTTCGAATGTACGTCGTCCTTGTGGTCCTTGTTTCCATTGACGTTGCCACTTTTCATTCGCCATTTGTTTTAGTTTGTATTTTAATGCTGATTTAGGCCATGGGATATGAATTTGAGATCCTGTTTGTTCTAGAGCTGCCTGTTTTGCTAGATAATCGGCCCTTTCATTGCCTTCAAAGGCGTTGTGCCTTCTGGTCCATGACAGGACAAATTTCTTATTACTTGTGTTTATGATGTCTTGAATTTGCCGAGCTATAGGAGAATTTGTGTGCTGTTGTTTGATGGCATGTATGGAAGACTGACTGTCGGTGATTACGTGAATGGTATCTGTATTTAAGTCATTAAGTTGCATAATGCTGTTTAGTATGGCTATGAGCTCTGCTTGATATACGCTGTTTTGCGGCCGAAGGTAACCTTGCCATTCGGAGTGGAGGCCTGTTTTTGTTTTTATGGTGACTCCGCTTCCTACCTTATTTTCGATCTTTGAGCCATCCGTGTATGCAGTAAAATCAGTTGATGGAGGTGGCTTGTCGAGGTTGCAATGGAGATTGTGAAGACCCAGAGCGGGATGTCTGTTATATTTCGATGGCTTTTCTTCATATTCATGTGGATTGAAAATTACGCCGTTGTACGTCGAAGTTTTCTTGAGTTGTAGGATGATTGTGGACAGTGCGTCGATTTCTGTTTGAATTGGTAGTGGCGTCACCCCGGCTATTGTTTGTAGTGCGTTGCTGGAGGTTGTTGAGAATGATCTAGTAATATTGATCAAGAAAGGTCTTTGAATTGAGTTAAGGGTCCGATTTTTTCTTGCTGTAATGGGAAAGGCCCAGATAGTGGCTCCATAGGTGATTATTTGATTGACTATTGTCTTTAATAGAATTTTCATAATGCGATGATTAAGGTTCCACGAATATCCTTTCATCGCCCTTAATGCTTTTGCGATTTTGGCGGTGGTTAGCTTCTTTTCCTGAAGATGTGTTATCCAATTGAATTTCTGGTCTATGGTGAGTCCTAAGTACTTAATGGTCTTCACACATTTTATTTTATTGTTTCCAATTCGTAGCATGGGATTCCTGGTTATTGTTTGTCCTGGCTTGTGTATTATAAGTGTGTGCGATTTTATGTGTGATATTTGGAGTTTTATTCTATGACAAAGGTAGTTGAATATATTAAGGGTGGTGTTGCAGTTTTCCTCTAGTTGTTTTCATGTAGATCCTTGGATTATGAAGGCAACACACTTCGTCAGCGAAGGCTACAATCCTTGTGTGATTTGGCCACTGATGATCGATAATATTATTAAAGGTGATGTTCCAGAGGTCCGCTGCTCATACACGACCTTGGGGACATCCTCTAGTTTGTTTTCTGGCGATTATGGTATTGTCATAATATTACTACTCTTTGTCTGTTTTCTTGAGATAGTCCGTAATCATAAGGTACAGGTTTCTTGGACACTGCATCTCCCTGAGGGCCTGCTTGACAGCTGGCCACCAAAGAGAATCGAATGCATTTTGCAGGTCAAGACATAGGAGAGCCGAATGCATTTGATGGCTTTTGTTTGCTTGTATTTGAGAGATTGCTATATCTATTGCATGAGTGTTGAGCTTTTGGGTTTAAATCCATACTGGTTGGTACTTATTCTATTGTCTTTATATATATGGTATTTTAGTCTATTGACCAGAAGTCGTTCAAGGAGCTTTCCCATGGCTGGTAGTAGATTTATTGGTCGGTATGAGCGAGGGTCCTCTGGTTTTTTATTTTTCTTCAGAGAAGAGGATGATTTGCCCATGCTTGAAGCAGTCCGGGAAGCAGTTGTATTTCAGGCATTTATTGTACAGATTTAGGAGTATTTCTGGGCTGACTTTACAGATTATCTTCAAAACTTGATTTGAAATCCCATCTGGGCCAGGTGCCTTCGCATTGTTGCGTGTTTTGACGAGTTGTAGTAGTTCTTTTTTTTTGTAAATTGTCTGTCATCTGGGGTGCTTGGGGAATTAATGGAAGTTCTTAATTCTCGTTGCTCTGGGGTGTCTTCTTCGCTGTTGTCATGTGGGAAAACGTGGTCTAGGATGTTGTTTAAGGCTTCTGTCGTAACGTTGGCATTGTTGTGCGTATGTATGCTATTTGGGGTGTGTATCTGCGTCGGCTTGAAAATCTTTGAGGTGGCCATTTTATTGAGTACTCCGTAAGTATTTTGGTTATTGGTGCAAAAGGAGGTCCAAGATTTTAGCTTAGCTTCCGTGATTTTCTTCTTATAAATTGCCCTTTGCCTGTTGTATTCGGCCCATGCTGCCTGTGCGATCTTTCGTCGTTTGTGCGGGACTTTAATCTTTGTCTTAGCGCTCTGGTCTTTTGGCGATCTGCACGCAGTTCTTTGGTCCACCAGTTAGCTTTTCTGTGATTGGTGGCTGACTTTAGTTTGAAGGATGCATGACAGCATTCTTGAATAAGTCGTGTGAAGTGTATTGCATATATATTGACATCTTCTTTGGAATTAGTCTGGGTGATGGTTTGTAGAATGGATTGAACTTTTGGACTTAATAGTTTGATAAACTTTTTCTCTGTGCTGCTACTAATTCGAAAGCGTTTCGTCTGTATGTTTTCTATTTTCTGGGCAATTTCAAAGGTGATGTATTTGTGGTCGGAGAAAGAATCGTCTTCGCTGATCTTCCTATTCTGGATTTTGTGAGTTAGGTGGTGTGTACTGAGAGTCAAATCGGGCCATCCTCTTCCATTGATTGTGGTAATACGTGGGTAAGTCCTCAGGGTCGTTATGCAGGATTAGATTGTTAGAGTTAATAAAGTCCTCCATTTCTGTTCCTCTTGGGGTCGTACGTGGATAACACTACAGGCTGTTCTGTGCGTTAAAATCACCGTTGATCGGGAGGACATTGCTATTGTGGAGAATCTTTATTTCTTGCAGGGTGTTATCGAGGTCTTCAATAGGCGACGCATAGGCGCTAGTGAGGTAGATTTGTGATTCTGCTGTGGTAATGGATATGGTGACTACATCTCTGTGTGCTTTGATAACGAGTGGAGTCCAGGACGATGATGGCTGCTCTCGGGAACTGTCTAGTGTCTGAGTTCTGCCAGGATATGACGTTCCATGTTAGTGGTAAGTTTATTGGGGAACCTTGGTTGCAGTATGGTCTCTTGTACAAAAATTATGTCATGATATATTGTTCTGAAATGAATTGTATTAAATTATTAGGTGGCTATCTTTGAACGCTGAAGGTTGATATGCAGAGCTTTAATTTGCCATTTTGACGATTAGACTGACGGAGGAATGCAGTGGGATGGTTTTCTATGATATTAACGTTGCTTGGAGGTTGACTACTCATTGTATTGCGTTCTGCTTTTGATTCTTAAAACTTCTTCTTTGTAGGATGCGCAGTAGTTGACATAAGTGGGATGGTCACATGAGTATTTGGTGCCGAAATGCTTATTGTTTATTTCACAGTTTATGCAGTTAGGGCTATTAGATTTACATTCGCTTTCCTGGTGTTTGCCACCGCAGTAAGCGCAGTGTGGATGATAGGTGCAATCCTTAGAGCGGTGGCTAAACGCTTGACAGTGATAACATCTGTGAGCACCTATAAATTCTGTAATTGAACTGGTGTGCCAGCCAAAGTGGACGGTTCGTAAGTTCATACATTTATGGAATGAAACAGTTTTACATTCCACAATCCATTTGATTGTGTTGTATTTGTCCTTAAGCTTAAACAGAGGCTTAAAATTGGAGATGTTGCTGTTCGTAGCTTTTGCAAGTGCGGTGCTTACTGCTTCAGCTGTTGTATTCGGCGGCAGTCGGTGGATGGTGCACTTAGGGGTTCTTAGCTTTGGTACCTTGGTATGGATTAGATCAGTTGCTTTTTCCGTCTGTTTCAGGAGGCTGTCTAGCTTAGCTACATCATCCTGTGAGGTGCAATGTACTGCAAGTCCACCTTGCTTTATCGGTACTATCTTTTTTATCTGAGTTTGGATGTTTTCGAACGGGAATATGTCTTTCAGTTTTTCTTGTAATTTTGACACACTTCTGGAGTCTTTTGGATAGATGAGAAGGACTGGCTCTTTTTTCTTTTGCCTCAGAACTTGTGCGTAGGTTTCTTTGGTGCTGGGTGCTTCATAGTTATCACAATTGGTAGCGACCTATGGAATTTCAGGCTGTGGATAATTTGAGCAGCACTGTGAGTTGTTTGCTGTTGCTGTTGCATCAGCGGTGCAGGGCTGTTGTTCGCAGGATTTGACGATTTCGGAAGTTTCATTTGCTTTGTTGCTGGCTAGTTTATAGAGCGCTGATAATAGAGAGATTAGCTCTTCCCGGATAGCATTGGGTATTACATATCTGAGGCTGTAACGTGAGTTTGCGATCTCCATGCAGCGAGAGTAGATGTCAGAGGCAGATGTAGGCACTGACATGTGCGAGTTTGCTGAATGGGATGCTACTTCCGATAGTATGTTGGAGGTGTTTTGGATGGGGGGATGAGTGCCTTCAGTGTCGTCACTGGGTTTGTGTGTGTGCGATGTAGTGGATGGCATAATTATACAGTTGCAAAACAATTGGATACTGACATACAATATAATACAGTGAGCAAACAAAAGTAAATAAAGTACTAAAATAAAAAGATCTCTTGTTATCTAAGCACAATGAAAATTACTAGCACAATAAGTCGCAGATAAGCGATGCTAACTGGATAACAGATTTACCATGCTAGTGGCATAATTGGGAATGCAAAACAATAATGTAATTTAAAAAAAAATAGAATGATAAGTGAACACTATAAATATTAAAATTAAAGCAACACTGTTAACAGGTAAGTTTAGTTAAACACCACCACCACCAACAAAAAACAAAACTGCTAATGCTGGCAATACACTAGACTGGTAAAAAGTTTAAAACTTACTGAATATAAGTAAATTATAACTTAAGTACCTGCTGAATGGGGATAACTACTGAGGAGTTGGAAAGCTACAGATGAGGTGGCAGGAGGAATGAAAAAACAATGAGCTTAATTATCTAAGTAGTTAAATATGTTAGTGGGAGTTGAGATAGAAGAGGAGGAAAGGGTAAGGGAATTGATGCGAGATTGGCGTAGAGTTGTTAGCGCATTCGGGGGATCAGAAATTAGAGAAATTGAGATTATATAATGCAATAAATTAGAATTATATTAGCCGTATGCAGTAAGCTGGCGAATTATTGATTATACACTGCAGAAAGTTAAAATTATATTAACATGTAAAGCACAGTAAATGAGAATTGTAATACAAAAATAATGCAGGAGATTAAAGTTACGTTAAGCGAGGTGCACAAAACTGGATAATCATAAACAGTAAACAAAGCAATAATTTTTTTTTAGAATTACAATTTCTAGAAAGCACAATAATTGAGAATTATTGATTGAAGAATTGATATTATTACTCGGAAAGCATAGTATTTCAGAACTAAAATGATTAAACAAAGCAGAAAATTAAGATTAATATATCCTAGAAACACAATACTCAGTTGATATTCTACGCGCTATGCGTTAAAAATACTACTGAAAACAGAAAACAGGAAATGTGAGGATCATTAAAATAAACTTAAAGAAAAAAAAATATATATAGAATCATTATAATAAACTTAAAAATATATATATATATATACTGACAACATATTCAAAAATATGTATGTTCAAAAATAACCATGGGGTGTTAGAGGGAAAAGAACTAATAGTTGAAGAAACGCTACACTAGAATAAATCACTCATGCTACACTGGTGCGACACTGAAAGAATATACCGATGTGTTACCAGGGAAGGAACTAAGTCCTGGATGTAAACAGTAGCGCATGAGAAAATAGTTCATGCAAAGTCCTTGCAAAGATGGCAGTGCAGAGTTGACTTCCGTGGTAGCTCCCAAGTGACCTTAGAGGGTAAGGGAATGTAG